GACAGCACCTGCCGAGTGCCCCCCACTTTCTGCTACCACGCCACTTAGTACTGCTATGACCTAGAGACGGTGAGACCAGGATGGACCAAGGAGGCCTCGGGCAGCCACCCCCTGGGGGTCGTCCCCAGTGGCAGCACACTGGGAGGGACAGGGTCTGCTGGGGGCCACCTCGGTACCGGGCACATCACAGTTGGAAGGCTCCCTGGTGGCCCAGGACAGAGGGAAATCTACAGCCCGGCTTAGGGAAAGCTGGACAGTGAGAGGAGACAGAGCAGGGACAGGGGAAGAAAGGCTGTGCAGACCCGCCTCTGAGCGGGGACAGGGGAAGAAAGACTGCGCAGACCCGCCTCTGAGCGGGGACAGGGGAAGAAAGGCCGCACAGACCCGCAGAGGCAGCATGGTGGGAGGATCACTTCCTGTACCCCAGCCCAGGGCCCCCAGTCGCTTCCTGGGAAATTCACCCTCGGCTGTGGTCTGTGTCCCAGCCTCGGCCCTGGGTTTGGTGTGGGGCTCTAGGTGAGGCTGGGAAGCAGGAGTGCTCCAGGCAGAGGGGCCGGGCATGGGGGAGAGAGAGGACGGACACCCGGTGGGCAGCACAGACCCCAAACCCACTCCACCCTCCTGGAGGCTCTGGCCTGTGCACCCATCTTCATCTCACCTTCACCCTGCAAGGATGGGAGGCTGAGACTCCCTGGGGCTACCCTGGAGAGAGGGTTCCAGGACCAAGGGGAGCTCTGGAGAGGGTGGAAGAGCCGCTCCTCACCGCATTCCATAAAAAGACAAAGGTGCCCAGAATGGCAGGAAGACGAACAGGAAGTGGGACCCACAGGGCCCCGCCCCTGCCCCGCCCCTGCCCCATGCCCAGATGGGGTGGTTCTCCCACAGGACAGGAGTAAGGCCGACTAGTCCCCAGACTCCCAGGAAGAGAGCTCTGCGGGGACCATCTCCCCAGAACCTTCTGGAACCCAGGACAGGAAGGTGTATATGGGTGGGAGAGGAAGTCTTTTCTCCTTCATTTTCTGCTCATGATACCCCTCCCTGCCCGGGAGCCACCATTCTTGTTCTTGCAGCAAAGATGCCACACAGGGCGGCGGTTGGACCTGTCCTACCCAGGCAGCTTCCGTCAGAGAGTGCCAGAGTTCGTGGGGAAGCGCGCGTTGGCGGGAGGTCAAAACCACATGCACTGGATTCCAGCCTCTTTTTAAGCCCAGGCTTTATTCCAGCCTCTTTTTGAGGAATTTGACTGAAAAGTTCCCTCCTTCTCGGCTGATGTGCCGTGCCGTTCTGGGCTCCTACCCTTGGCTTCAGCAATGCTGGTGACGAGGCGCTGGGGTCCCCGAGGAGAGGAGGCCTCCAGGAAGGACCTGGCCTCAGTCCACGCCGTCCAGGGACTGTGGCGCTGCCCTCTCGAGCTGTAGCACCTGGAAAGAGAGGCCTGTGACACCACAGCCCTGCGAGGACAGACTGTGGGGCTGTCGAAACACTGGCACACACCAAAAGCGGGTCACAAGTCCCAGAGGTGAAAAAGTAAATTACCAGAGTCTCCACCGGATGCTGGGAGTGTGCGCTGGAAAAGCCTGGAGGGGCGGGTCCAGCACACGCACAGCTGTCACTGCAGACGACAGCAGGGCAGTGTCTCCACCTTTACCTGAATCTGTCTCTGATGTTCCTACGTGTGTCACTCTTGTGGCTGTACAGCGTCTGAACCCCCTTCCTGATCTGGGGGAGCTCACCCCTGAGTGCATCTGGGTGGGAGCCAAGCCCCCACCGCCCACTACAGAGGCCAGAGCTGGGGTAGCTCTCTCTCCTGTCCTGGGTCTCCTGTCCTGGGTGGCCGAATGACAGGGCCCATCACCCGAGGCTTGGCCACTCCACTGCCCGGTGACGCAGGGACACTGGGATTCAAGGATGGCAGAGCAGGTTGGCATCCAGCCCAGACAGGGTGTGGCGCATGGGCTCATCCAGCCACAGCAGGGGATATAGGGCAGCAGCCACCTGGCCTGAGTCCCAGCTTTCCAGACCCTGTGACCCCTGCCCTCCCTTCCACGCTCTAAGTCACTCTTTCAGCAAGTTCCATTCCACCGAAATCAGCCAGACACGGTATCTCTTCCTTACAACCATGCAGCCCCAAACACCTGCCGGCCCCAAACGTCAGCATTCCTCAACCCTGGCACCACCATCATGTGGAACAAAGAATTCTCTGCCAGGCGTGGGGTTGGGATGGGCCCGTCCTGCACGTGGAAGGACATTCAGCAGCATCCCTGGGCTTCACCCACAGGATGCTGGGAGCACAGACCCCAGCCCAGTCGTGATAACCAAAATCATCTCCGGTCATCACCTAACGTCCCTAATATGTGCACACACACAGTGGAGAACTATGCAGCCTTCGGAAAGAAGGAAATTCTGCCATTTGCAGCAATACGGATGAACCTAGACGAACATCTTAAGTGAAATAAGCCAGGCAGAGACAGACAAATACTGCATGGTCTGAGTCATCTGTGGAATCTCAAAAAGGTGATCTCGTGGAAGCAGAGAGTGCGATGGCGGCTACCAGGGGCTGCTGGGTGGGGAGATGTTGGTCAAAGGCCACAAAAGAAGTAAGTTCAACAGATCCAGTGCACAACATGGTGACTGTAGTTAATATTGGAAAATTGCTGAGAGAGTAGATTTTAAGTGCTCTCACCACACACAAATAATAGGCATGTGGGGTAAGGCATGTACAGTGAAAGAGCTTGACTTAGCCATTCCACCATGACACACATATCGAAATGTCATGTTGTACACCATCAATATATAGAACTTTTATTTGTCAACATGACAAAAGTAAATTTAAAAAACACTTTAAACATACTTGTCCCTTTGCAGAAAGGAGGACAGTAAAAAGTCACTGTGTATATAAGAAAGTTTTTCAATCCTTCATGGAAATAACCTCACGTTTCTTCTACAGACACGAAACATGGAGAAAGAAACATTTCTGCTGGATTTACCTGATTTTCTATGCACCGAAACTGCCAAGGCCAGCTCGTGTTGTACAGGAACGGTCGCAGATCAAACCTGTTGTCCTCAGGGCTGTAGTTCTCGGCGTGGTACGCAGGCGTGAGCGTGGTCATCTTGTGTCTGTTCATGGAGTGCTTGGTGAAAAACCACTTCACTTTGTCAGCGACCTGGTTGGTGTGCAACACACGAACTTCATGTTAGCAAAGCTGGAGAGACCCCAGGCTGGAATTCCCATGCTGGACCACACAAGCAAACGGCTAATGGGTTACTCCCCACACAGGACCTTCCCCAGTGGCAGGCATGGGGGATGCCCAGGCTCACACTGGGGGTGCTGGCCGATCTATGAAACCAGCATCCCCCTAACTCTGACGCTATGAAAACGGGGTGTCCCTGCCTCTGACGCTATGAAAACGGCGTCTCCTGCCTCTGACGCTATGAAAACGGGGTCCCCCTGCCTCTGACGCTATGAAAACGGGGTCCCCC